GACAGACAGACAGACAGACAGACAGACAGACAGACAGACAGACAGATAGATAGATAGATAGATAGATAGATAGATAGATAGATAGATAGATAGATAGATAGATAGATAGATAGATAGATTGATAGATAGATTGATAGATAGATTGATAGATAGATTGATTGATTCCAATGTTGGCTTTTAGGAAAAATAGCACAAAGTCCCACCATTTTTACTAGCCTGCAGTATTGCCACGCATCTTGTAAAAAATGCTCTGCTAAGGCTATCTCTCTGGATAATTTGTTTTGCAATTAAATATGCATCCTAGAAAGCCTGGGAGCTATTGCATGCAGAAGCTCTGTCCTCCTGAGAATCATACCAAAATTATAAAGATCATATCCTGAGATTTCTAACCCTTTTAAACATTATTACTGGATTAGGGCATTGTCCAACTGGAGTCTCAAGTATTTATTATTCAGCATGACTGAAAACAAATTGCTGCTCATTATTTCTGCTGTGGTGACTCAGCATTTTGGCTAACAGGCAGCCCCCTTAGCGCATTAGCATGCCATACTCCTGTATTTAGGATCACATTCAAATTATAATAATAACCACTTTCAATGAAATGCCAAGTCACTTTGCTCATGACAGCTAGATGGAAATGGCTGCCAATTTATGTACTGTGCTTATTTTATCTTCTATGGCTCTGAGGAAAAATAAATGAAATACAAAAGTAAAGGTGAAACAGTCATTGAGTTGGATGATACCTGAATGTCTAATGTGAAACAATTAAAATATAGGCGGAAGGTTAACATACCATGTTCAAGGTGGAAGTGCATGACTCAGGAGGCCAGTTTATCTTATAAGCATTGTGGGAAGCCTGTTATATTTCAACATGAATTATTTTGTTAGCTGTACTCTGAACTATATCTGCCATTGCGCAATAGTGTGTGTTGATAAACTAGAAGAGCACAGCATCTGCCATTGCGCAATAGTGTGTGTTGATGATAAACTAGAAGAGCACAGGTTTATTCTTATATCTTACAAAGGCAGGAAACTAATTCTGCCAACTAATCTTGGTATGCAGTTCCAAAGTAATGGAACTAATCTTGGTATGCAGTTCCAAAGTAACGGTTGCTCCGTGTGTGTGTGTGTGTTCTGTGTCATCAAGTCGGAAATGACTTACAGCAACTTTAAGAGGACTTTCAAGTAAATGAGATATATAAAGGAGTAGTTTTACCAGTTGCACTCCCCTAGTGAGTTTCCATGATTAAGCAGGGATTCGAACCCTGTTCTCCAGAATTCCAGTCCAGCACTCTATTCACTACACCACACTGGGAATTTCAGACAAGCACAGTAGGTTGAAGTAATCTCGTCTTCTACACATCATCACTTTCTTAATAATGGTGATGGTGATGATAGACTGCCAGGTTGATTTTGATTTGGATACAGTGTGATTAGAAGGGATTAATATTCCCTTCTTTTGAGGGTGCCCTTCAGCTGTGCAGCTACGCAGGCTGATTCCTCTCCCAGGAGGCACAGTGGGGAATCAGACTCCCAAACACTGGATCCACAGACAGATGCCTGACTCAGATAAAATCTCCAGCCAGCATTCCGGATTATAAAACTCTGAATTGTGTGCACAAGTGCAGATTTGATCTATTCAAATCACATCCAGATAGTCATTCTCAAGACATTTGTCCTTCGTTTAGTAGGAGGAAGCAAAGCAAAGCAAAGCGTGCTGCTTATATACCGCCCCATAGCACTTCAAGCACTCTCTGGGTGGTTTACAAGTTAATTATACAGGCTACACATTGCCCCCCCCCAGCTGGGTCCTCATTTTACTGACCTCGGAAGGATAGAAGGCTGAGTCAACCTTGAGCCGCTACCTGGGATTGAACCCCGGGTCATGAGCACAGTTTTGGCTGCAGTACAGCGATTTAACCACTGCGCCACGAGGTTCTTCAGGACAGCTCATTGAAAACTATACAGTGCAGATGGGCAGCAGTTGTGTTCAGGTATACATTTGGATGAAAATCAGTTAAAGTGAAGTTCCTGATCTGGTATATACTTGGCACAGAGAAGTTTCCTTTAGCATGGTGATCTTTTGGAGCAGGGCTCCCTATTCCAGTACATTGTGTTGATGGCTTTGTTGCATACTACAGCAGTGTTGCAAGATAGAAATTATCAGCCTTTTTGACTAAGCTACTGGTTGCTATGGTCTCTTATCCATTGAGAATGAGTGCAGATGTTAAGAATTTCAGTTCTGGGGCACAACCACATATGGGCTCTCTGGTGCCATGATATTATCACATGTTCATGGGGTACATGTGATGTTACTGGTTGGGATCACATAAATATCAGGAATAAAAAGTCAGAAAGCATGACAAAGTGATACCTTAATTAGATGCTAAAGGTGGGGATGAACTGCTGGTTCAGTGATTCATGCCAATTCTCTTAAAGGCCAAACAGGTGTTTGGCACTTTGAAGCCCCTCCTCCTCCAGCAGGCGTTCGCTTGGAGGCAGCAGCCTGGCTTCCCAGCCCCACCTCCTCCAGGCACTGCCTCTGAACGGGCACCTGCCAGAGGAGGCAGGGCTTTGAAGTGCCAAATGCTTGTTCAGCCAATAAATGAACCAATTAGACACTATTTCTGTTAGACACGAATGAGCTGGTAAAGCTGATTTCCTGGCCTATAGGAAAAACCAATGGGGAAGCTTGTTGGTACATGACCTTGAATTTGTAGTCACCACCTGCCTTCTCTTTATCCACCGAGTCCAAGGTGAATAGGACCCTTGCTCACCCACCAGACAAGAGGAATTCTGTTGTGAAGTCTGTCCTCTTCCCTCAGTCTGGGAAGTGCCCTGGAAAAATGAGGAAAAAAACAAACAAACAAAAAAGGACCCCCAGCCTAAGGGCCTTCTTTTGTCTTCCTTAACTGGGGAATTCTGTGACACATGAAGCAAGCAGATAGTCAGTCAACAGGCTGGATTGGATGTAAGAAGGAATTAAACTTTACTACATCTTAAGGAAAAGGGTTACAATGCATTCGAAGCAAAAAGTAAAAGTCACAGAGACAAGTGGTCTAATAAGGGTACCCCCAACCTTTCCTTTGGATTGTGTACCGCAACCACACAGCCTTTTTTTCTTTGTTAAAACAAGAATATACTTTTAACTGACACTAAGGCAGATGCCATAAGGGGCAAAAAAAAGTCATATGTGAATAGGGTGCATTTCGATCAATGGGTTCAGTGAACAAATATGCACAAACACAACCTAAATTGGACTGAACTTCAATCTGAGAATGATTTAACAAGACACTTTTCAAACATGCCCATTACTGAGAGCTCTAAAATGGGAGAAGAGATTTTTCTCCCTCCAGGACAAGTTATGTCTGGGTCAAAGTAGATGAAACTTTTAGCATTTTTGTAGAAAATGTGGTGAAAGATTTTGTCATTATACCAGATTTCCTCGCTTTTGTATCTTGCACTTAATAGATATTGTTTGGAAGTCTGGAAGTTGAGATACCTATCTTTGAGGGGGAAATCCACTCTGTGTGTGTGTGTGTGTGTGTGTGTGTGTGTGTGTGTGTGTGTGTGTGTGTGTGAGAG